TCATATGTGCTCACTTTCCTTAACACTCCCATTTCTGTGACTCATCACTGCAGTCACCCAGGGATTTCAAATAGTTTCTCATCAGGTGAATGTTCTGTGAAAAGGTGTCTCTAAGTTATGTGTTACACTGAGCTTCAATGAGCTCACTAAAATATATCAGTGGAGAGTTGAGGTAAAACAAAAAAAAAAGATTTCATCACTTTCCTGCAATGCCAATGGAAAGGTAATTACTGCACTACCCAACTGCTTGGCCTTAGTAAAGTTTACCGATAAGAGGCTTTTCGGTAATTACTATAAATAATATGCCAATTATACTCCAGTTGATCCTGCTCATGCAAGGCCAAAGGATAGCATTCCAAAATTTTGCTCTCACTGGTCTGGAAGTCTCTCACTAATTCACCTGCACTAATAACGCCTTAGAATAGGTGTCAGGAATACTTATTAGGGTTGGAGGCGCTATTCGAATTTCTTTGCATTAGCATGGCAAGTGTCAACAGCTTGGCTTTGTGGGAGATTTAAAACCAAGTGCTTAATCAGTCAGTTTAACCTCTAGCTCCCGTTTCTGAAGCTTAAAGTTGTAATGGCTTGAGGTTAAAAAGTGCAGTCCCAAGACACAGGATTCCCAAATAAATTCTACCCTGAAAAGAAGGCAACCCAACATGTTGTGAGATATCGCTTTAGTGAGTTCTTTGTGTTGTAGTTGGTTCAGTTGTCCTGTGAAACGACGACTGTCCATTACCTACAGTTTATCATCCTGACAAGATGTAAGGAATGTGGATGTGAAAGCACGAACAATTCCCACCCCCCGGTGCTTTGTCCTTTTTTTCTCTCTATATTAAAACCGACAAGATTAACCCAAACTCAAACTGCAGAGCATAGTTCAAGGGGCTATTCAATCAGCAGTGAATGCGCATTTGTTTACTTACAAAAATAAGAATTTCGGATACAATGGTGGGGGGGGGGCGCAGACTGGCTTATATATGCTACTGAATAGACTGTTTAAACAGGACCCTCCATTGTAGTTTTAGTTTATCAATCTCTGACATGTTAGTATTTATTCAGAAGTAGACTCTAGCAGAGTCCATGTATTACAGGTTATCTGCCAATTATTCAGCCACTCTTTGTTTTTCTTGAGTCAATCAATATCAGGAATAGAGCATGATGTAGAGAAAGATCCCATGGGGAAAGAAAAATGCTTTGTTAACCTGACTTGTGGTGTGCACGGAATCACAACCTCAGACACAAAAAGCACTTTTTCTTGATAACCGGCCTACTGTAATGTTTGGCCAAAATCATCAATAAAGTAAACAGAATTCATTCTGAAAGGTAATATGAAGGCACTGCCATTTCCTGGGAAGTGAACTTGTAGAATAGAATTGGGGTGGACCATTTTATTTGAACAAAAACCCTGAACTGGGGGTGTGGTGGTAGTGGTAGTAGGAATAATCCTTGATTTAAGCATGTTAATGAAGTAATAGAAGCTATGCTTCCATAGTCATTCTTGAATTCCCCAAAGGAAGACTTAATAGCCTCAAATGCTACCATTTACCTAAATCGACTATAAAAGGTAGCAATGCAATTTATATAATTTTACAGGGTAGTTACTATGTTTCATTATGTGACATTCCTTTTCATTAATTCCTGAATGTCCTGGGATTTGGGGGGGATAGTGTGATGAAAGTAGCTATGGAGACGGTGAATTTGCACAGGATTTTCTGGACCCTGTGTTCAAACAGCTGCTGCATGCTCCCTATGCCAACCACCTGCTAAAAAAGATGACCTCCAAACTAAACAAAACTGATTGTATTTATATATGTTTTAGGATAAATCCATTTAATATTTAAATTATATTTAAATCACACTTTATATTAACCTGAGACATTAAATTTCAATGTATTTGACTCTTTCCCTGTAACACCAGACTTGCCAATTAAAACTTTTCATTGGAAATGAATATGCAACTTCCTCAAATAAACTGCTTGACACTAAAGAGCTGGAATTATGACATTCAGGCTAAAAAGGGGTCCTTCAACATCACTATTTTAGTTTCAGGTGGCCACAGGAAAAAAAATTTCTAATTTCTCAAGTTAGCACTCCTCTTCTATTCTCTGTGAAGATGACCTTTTCCAAGGGAAAAATTATTCAGGACCCTCTGGGCAAACAATTGTGACAAGAATTAGAAAGAAATTCTTGTCTTGAAAAGTGGAACAAACACACCAACAGCAATATCAGTAATGTCAGCCTCTTCAAAGTACAGGCCTCCAAGTGGCCTATAAATCAATGACCCCAACAATAGAAAAAGACTAATTTTAATAGTGTGGTTCTTCACAGTTGTGATGACCCTTCAATGGTTCACTCATTCCATTCCAGAACACATTTACATAAATGAAAAGAATATGTTTCTATAATTTTTCTTTAAATTGAAAAAAAAAAAGCATTAACTATTATCTGAAGGGGTTTTTTTTTTTAGTAAGACCTTTCCATATCCAAAAACACAATGGTCAAGAGTGTTAATGCTGAATCAAAAGATACAGTTAAACAGTGAAAAAACTTAAGTCAGAGGAATGTAAATATATTCTAATAAGGGTTAAATATAAACATTTCCATCATGAAAGGTAAAATCAACACCTAAGAAGAGCCTGTTAGTGAAAGTGAGAAGTAAGGGCAACCTAACCATACAGGGTAGAGAAGAGGTCCATCCTGTTGTGAGCATTATGTATTGGAAGAGTGACCTCTATAGGAATAAACTGCTCACTAGCTCCAGAATACATATTCATTTCTCCAGTGCAGTTATGTGCAACTACTCTCAGCCACAACAGGCCTACCAGTGCATCCTGTTCCTTGTACCTATTAAACTTTCACACTCAATTCAACTGGCATATTGCGTTTTTGGTTGGTAGGATTTTTAATCACTCCTTTCTAAATCAAAGAAAACTAATAATTACCGTATGTTTTTAAAAAGCCATGTCCAGACAGGTAGGCTAAATTGAATCCTTAAATTAACTTCTAAATTATGAACAAAATGTTTAGAATAATGTCTAGTAGTACTGAAGATTTTTGAAAATTACTAAAATCATTTTTCCTCTTTTGCATAAAGAATACTTGGGTAACTTTTTGGGTGAACGTCCGATCTTAATATTCTTGAGAATGATTAGAGAAATCTATAATAAATTTTCTTCTTGAAAAGAGTAGAAGGTAAATTCTTTAGTTGGGAACATTATTTCTAAATCAGACTGATATTTCTTACACTCCTAAATCTAACCCAAACTTGCTTTAGACCTGGATTAGACATCACTGATCTGGCTGGTAGTACAAAGCTCCCTAATTCAAAAATCAATCTAAATCACTTTATCATAGGCTTCCCTTACATGTCTTTATGATGGCATTCTATAAAATAAAGTTTCATTGGGGCAGGAAGTGATACACATCCCTAGAATGGTTTAATATACAATATTGAATTTATATGTAAACACATTTGCCTTATTAGTTATGGCTATTATTATTGAAAATGTGTTTAATTTAAGCCTCAGTTTATTGCAATACTTATCACAGAAAGTTATTCTCTACAAGACCTTTCTTCCAAATAGCTACAAATAGAGGTGGCTAGGGTTCGAAGGTAGGAGGGAGGTGCTGGTAAAGGGTGAAGACGTCATAAAACCACCCTTTCTCTAAATAAAACTTTGTTTAGTTTAGATTTAGTAAAACAACCTAGACTGAGTTCTTGTCTTAATAAAACCCATCTGAACATCGTACCTTCTAAGGAAGCCGTCATTACAAAGCAATCCTTTCCAGAACATCCGATTCCTTCTATTTCAAAATTCAAATATTTAGGATGCAAATGTATGCAAGCCCCCTTGTTTTAAGTAAGACTCTCTGAATAAAGAGCCCCTATTATGACCACATATAGCACTCTTCCATGGCTTGTTAATGAAAAGAAGTAGAGTGGTATAGAAGCAAAGATGCGTAAATGCAATTTAAAATTCGATCTCTCTGGGGGATGCGGGGTAGGGGTGGGAGGGAGATACAAGTTCGCCGCCCAAGTTCTATCTTTGAATTCGCAGTAGTAGCTGTCTGAAGTCCCCACGGTTAGTATTGCCCCCGGTTGGCTGTCCACATGAGGTAGTTCAGGGTTGCCTGTGAAAAGTATCGACGCTTAGAAATGGGGAGTTGGGGGTGGGAATCAAATAGGGTTTTTGTTTGTTAAATCCTGGGGATTTCTTGATCTTTCTCCTTTCCACCTCATCACCACCACCCTATCACACGCACACGAGATCCCAGCTATTACGCTTCCTTATTTCACCTTGCAACCAAATCAATTCCTATGGATAAAAGAAATCTTTCCTGCCGTTCCACAGCCTCGCTCCCACTCCCCGCCCCCGCCCCCACCTCTCTAACGCGTAACATTTGTTGTGGCCAGGATTCCCCCCCCTCCCCCCGTTAAAGAATTGAGGATCAGGTACAGATAATCTGACACCTTTCAGTGGAGTGAAAGATGAAACCAAAGGCTTTTAGCACCGGAGAATGCTTTCTTTGCTTTCCTTTGGGGGATGGGAAGAGGGAAAGGGAGGGCTTTTTTTTCTTTTCTTTTCTTTTTTGTGGCCCAGAAGCTAGGGGATGCCGCTGCTCTAAAAGAAGGCTCTAAACTAGAGGAGGGAGTCTCCACCTAGTGAAAAGTGACTAGAGAAGGAAGGTTGGGGGCGGGGAGAGGGGAGAGAGGAAAGGGTTAAGCCTCTGTGGTTAGATTAATAAAAAGAAGACGTGACCCGAGAAGGCGGTTTCAGCGATAGCCATGGCACCTTCCTCTGGGAGAAAGCACTTGAGAATACCGCACCAATCCTGGTGGAGCTTAGTGCCACTGGCGAGGCGGAAAGTGCGCTTTGAATCTCTAATTCCGTTCTTACGATGTTGACACCGATAGAAATACAGGAGCTGGCAAAAGAGGATGCGAGAGGATGAAGGGAGGAAGGGAAAAGGGAATTAAATGGGCGAATGAAACTTACTTGGAGTTCGAGGAATTCCAATATATTGGTTCTAAAACTATCGATCTGGAAATTGCAGTCCTGAATAAAACCATCCAAATTCCCCAACAGTACTTCCAAACGGAGTCCCTCCTCACAGCCATGCTCGAGCCGTTTCAAGTTCCTTTTTGCAAAGCCTCTCCCAACTCCTTGAGATTTCCGTACCTGAATAGGACCAAGTATAGCGCCCGTAATTCCAATTCTTCCGATTAAAAAAAAATAATAAAAAACCTAAAGCAAAAAATGATCTGTGCACTTGGTGATTGCTGCAAGCCAATTTACTGAGTCATCTGAGTTACAATGGACCTTCGAGCGCTCCTCCAAACGTATGATTCCAGAATCCAGCTATACCCCCAAAGCAAAAAACTCTCTTTGAGTCCCCCCACCCACCCCCCGCCGCCCGCCTGCTATCTCGGGGCTCCGGAAAACAGCGCAAGATGCAACTCAAACTGCAAACTCCCGTGGGGATCCAGTGTGCCCGGGCACATTCACGGCGTTTAATCTTTGAAGGTAAAAAAAGGAAAATTAAAAAAATAGTAACAAAAGCTGTAGAGCGCGCGAATGACCAAAAAAATAGGTAAAATCTTCGGAAAGGCGTCTCGCCGTCTCCAATTTTCCGTCCCACCCACCCCCAACCAAGCTTGCACGGTGTAATCCCCAGAGGACCGGCCCGGGTAGTTGTAGGGTTCTTGAGAAAGGCAGCTTCGGTCTATAAATCCAGAGGGAGGATCAGCGCCCGAAGTCCATTAAAGCCACATTTGCAAGATTCCATTTCTCTCCCTGGGAGCGGGGTTCGCTGACTCTGCTGAAGAGCAAGGAGAAAATGGGGGGGCGGGGGTGGCGGCGTGCGTGAAGACCTCCAAATCACATCAAAATCTCTCCACGGTTCTTCCTCCTCAAGCTTGCAAGCAGGACTTGCGGTGCCGTAGACCAGCAAACAGTGTCAGGGAAAAGAAAGAGGAAGAAAGAGCCTTCCTTTGCTTTGGGTGTGGGTTTAGCTTACTGCCCCTGCCGCCGTCGCCGCTGCTGCCGCTGCTACTCCAGCCCCTGCTGCTGCTTGCTTGATATGTGTATGTGTATGTATATGCGTATATGTATGTGTGTGTATGTGTGCGCGTGTGCGTGTGCGTGTGTGGCTTTGTGTGTGCGCCTGTATGCGAGAGAGCGAGTGCGAGCAGCAGCAGCCTCTTGCTCCTCACTCCTTCAGGCTCTAAAGTCGCTACTGCTCGGAGTCTTCAGTGAACGAAAGTAACCGCTTCCAGCTCGCTGTCATAGCAATATAAACTCAGCCCATCCGCCCCTTCAAGCGAAGCTCATAGGGCTGCTGACTTAGAGCTTGGCTCTGGTTGGGTGCTGCCCGAGTCCATCACACACCTCCAGCAGCCGACATTCGATCTCTGGGTGGGGCTTGCTGATGTCTGACAGGTAAATCCCCCACCCCCACCCCACCCCCACGCCCCCAAGCACTGCATCCCAAGTCCTAGCTTTAATAAACTGGACCATAATACTGTAAATTGGAAGTCTCTGGGAAAGAAAGCATCCCCAGTGATATTTATATTCACGTAACGATAATGGTTTCAACAATGAAATACACCCTGCATTTTTCTTCCGAGTCCTGTGTGATTTGGGAGAAATACAGAGGGGAGAGAGCGAGCAGGGAAGAAAGAGAAAGGAGAGGAAAGGAAAGAAGAAGAAAGAGAGAGGAGAGGGGGGAGAGAGGGGAGAGAGAGAGAGAGAGAGAGAGAGAGAGAGAGAGAGAGAGAGAGAGAGAGAGAGAGAGAGAGAGAGAGAGAGCGAGCCTATTAATGTAAAGGGATTATTACCCTTTCTTGATCTTTCGCGGTTCTGCCTTGTACAACCGAGTGTTTTTCCTATCCGTTCCACCCTCAAAATGAAACCATTCTAGAAGTCTGCCATGCTTTCTTTCCTGCAGAATTTTCTGTGTAAAACTTTTATGTATGTAGGTAATATCAGAAAGGGAAACAACTTATGATGAATCGTTTCGTATATTTTCCCAAAGTACACTGAAACCTGAATTCGCCGAGGCACCCTGTCTCTCTTCTATTGTTACTCGGCTCTATTTCCCACGATGCCTTTTAATAATGGGTTTCAAAATTTATTTTGTCACAAAACAATTAGCTAGGGGCCTTCCTAAGTAAACAGGGCATAGAAATGCAGAGCAACTTCAAAAGGATGTGGCGCCTGAATATGCTGCAGATAATTAGGGGGCTCTCAGCTTGGGTGTGAATTTCCTTGCTCTCCATAATCTGTCAGAGTTAGTGCCACTTTCTCCCCTCCACACATTTCTTGTGGGCGGTTTTCTCTCTCCAACTCCTCACTTTTCTTGGGGAAACAACACAGTGTAACTTTTCCCGACAAACGAGAACTTGGTTTAGCGTTCTCCTTAGCCTTTCTAAGTGAAAGAGACACTTTCCCAGAGGTGACCAGGAAATTTAACAAAGAGGATGTGAAAGAGATAAATAAGCACATTAGAAATGCAAGGACTTATTAATAGAGATTGAAAGGACCCAGGTGAAGGGGTGGCAGGAAATACTTCATGGCTTTCATTCCCAGTAAATGTGTTTTCAGGAACCTCAATTTTGAAACACTCCTAGGGTCCAGAATGCTCTCTCAAACTCACTAGAGCTCATTTTCACGGAGCCACAGCGCCCACTTGCGGCCATTTCTCACTTTCTTGTAATTTAGTGAGTAAGAGAGACTTGTGTGTTCACCTACCTACCAGGGCTAGTAAACTCGGTGGAATCCCGTCCCAGCACAAAGTCGAAAATATTTTAAAGCAAGTTTCCCAGTAAGACGCATATGGAAAGAATAAGACAATCAAAGTGGGTTTTGAATGATCCATTGATCTAATTTTTAAAAAGACTGAACAAATATTATACGCTAGAGATCTATAAAAAAGCTTTTTAAAGAGGGTGATATATTATCCACAAAACTGAAATCTTCAATACTCTAAAGACCTTTAACGGTACAAATAAGACCCTAACCATATTGCATATTGGTTTTCATATTTGTCACCTCATTTCATAGGCGAAAAGTAGTAGTAAGATATAGTTTTGATACTTTGTAGATAAAAAAAGGATCTTTTCCTACACTTCTTCAAAAATAAAGCCACATTAAGCAGGAGATAAAGCAAAATTTCCTTTTCCTTAAAGACTTAAAAGAAGCATCGCTTGTTATGTCATTGCATATTTTAATTTGGAATTTAGAACAGAATGAAATGCACAAAAAAGTAAAACAAAATGCTATAAATGTAAATACTGGCGATGATTCATTATGCTTTGAACATATCTCCTGAAGGGTAAAGAACTGAAACGCTCCCGTCCATTAATTGAATATAAACCCTTGATTTAATTTAAAATATAAGGGGCTCAGATCTGGTGCAATTGTTTGGGGTTAACGGGCAGATTTGGCGATGCGATCTTATAAAGGAAAGAACTCTGTGTATCATTCAGGGTAAAGCCCATCTAACAAAAACAACTTAGTGGTAATGGAGGAAATAGTTGTTGAATAAACTTTTTAAGATGTTTTAGGAATTCACTTGAAATCTGATATCAACAGTGAGTCTTATTTAACTTTTTAAAAGATAAAGAGATTCATAAACACTAAAATGCCTGCACTTCCCCATTATGCTGTAAATTCATTTCTGTGAAAAAGGTTAGCAAGTTTTCTAAGAAGTGGTGAGGTATAACCTCTTAGCTCTCTACATTCCTGTTTTAAGTAATCGAGAGAAAACCAGACCTGAATTGTCTGAAAATACTTCTGGTTTCTAAATATATATATATATTCACACACACATATATATATATTTAAGTAAATCAAAAGTTTTAATATTCATCAGTAATTATCCCACTACCTTGATGACTTAAAAAGTCTTCTGACGTTCCCTCCCTAACCTTTTAACAATTTAAACGATGGCACATTTTATAAAAGACGTATTTTTTGGGGGGGGGGGCTGTTGGTAGCTTCACTGCTTAGCATAGTGCCTAGTACATAGTAAGCGCTCAAAAAATGCTTGATGACTGACAGTGAAAAGTTGTGAACTGCATAAATGGGATATGGAGTAATTCCTGAACTAAAAAAACCTGATAAGCATTAACACAACTCCAAGTTATCAAAATTTTAACAGCTTCTAAAAAATGTACATTTAAATCTTAAAAGCATAACCTTGATCAGACTGATTTCATAAACCTTTTACTCCTACTTACAATTTTGAACATTATGCCAGAAATGAGGCATCCTTTTAAATATACTATAGATATTTCCAGGTGCCCTAATATAAAAATAGAACAAGTGTGCAGAACTGGAGAGAATGTATTAGGAAATCCCTTAGTAGGGATTTTGCTAGCTTATTTTTTAATCCAAAATGCTTAAGATAACTAGTCAACTTATTTTACTTTCTATAATCCTTGCTTTATCAGATCAAATTTCAAGGAATCAAGAAGTTTAGGGAAGTCCATTTCCGAGGAATCAATGCTAGGTTTGAGAATTTCAGAAAAATTGAAGATTTTGTTTATGTTTGGGATGGATGATGTGGATGGAAATGACAGAATAGATATGGACGGTGCAGATTATCTTTGTAAGGAAACTAAAATTAAGAACTAAATTCTGCTGAAGAAAATATCCTTTCCCATAACCAAGGTGGTGGTGGCTTTTTTTTTTTTAAATGAGACCTGTGATTTGAGACTCCTTCTGCCCACAGATGCCTTCAAAACAAACACCAAGGATGAAGTAACTTGATCAAGGTCACATAGCCAGTGTTATTGGAGGCAGGACTTAAACCCAGTTCTTCTTCGAAGACTAGCTCTTTATTCACACCACCAAGCTGATGGAGTAGCTTTTCTTAAAATTCTACTTTCAGAACTTCCCTTTCCCTCCACTTCCACTCAGGAATTTCCAAGGTCTTTTAAAGAACTTTCATAGAACTCAAGATAAAATTACAATTCACTACAGATAAGGAATTACTTAATTGGATGTCCTGTCACATTTTTGAATCTCTAGACAACAGAGTAGCCCAATAGAGCTCAAACCCCCTACTAAACAAAAAGTGGTTACCCTCCCAGAATAAAAACTGGGAAAATACACATTTTTCCTCATAAGTTAAATATTTAAAATACTCCAGTGACTCTCCTGGGACTTTTTATAGAACTTTCATCATTCTCAATACACTTGCTGAAGAGGCATTGTGGTATAATAGAAAGAGCAATTGATTTGGATTTAGACTTGGTTCAGAGGGTGGGCTGCTATGTGACTGGGTGAATCATTTGACTGATGTAAGCTTGTTTCCTGTCTGTAAGAAGAGATAATTCTAACAAAATTCCTCACAAATTTGATCAGAGAAACTTTGGGTA